AAAGCCAGGATGAAGTGCAAGAGGCCCCATTTGTTCCAAGGAGATCCACTAGGAAGCAGAAATGCAAGGTTCTTTGAAGATAATTTGACTAGTGGGAATGAGATTCCAAGAAACCTTGAGTTCCATGAAGCCAGTCCAATTGTTTGGCATTCTTGTACTGTTCTACCTACAAACTCTACTGAAATACAAGAAGAACAACAACATATAATGGAACAACTTGTTGTGGTTGAATCATTCATAAACAACCTGATCCTAAAAGTCAGGATGAAGTGCAAGAGACCCATTTGTGCCAAGGAGATCCACTAGGAAGCAGATTTTGGTGTAGGTCGCTTAGAAGACCCACTCATGTTCAAAGATGCCATTAATAACCCTAACTTAATTTTTTGGCTACCAATGGTGTTTGGGATTTTGTGTCGCTACCAATAGGTGTCAAAATTGTTCCATGTAAATGGATATTCAAAACAAAGAGAACTCCTAATGGTGAAGTGGAGAGGTATAAGGCTAGACTATTGGCAAAAGGGTATAATACTCAAAATGGAGTGGACTATAATGAGACTTTCTTACCTGTCTCTAAGAAAGATTCATTTAGAATCATAATGGCATTGGTGGTCCATTACGATATGGAGTTGCACCAGATGGACGTTAAGATAACATTCCTAAATGGGGAACTTGAGGAAATCTACATGGCACAATCGGAAGGGTTCGCTACAAAGGGTAGAGAACATTTGGTTTGTAGATTAAATAAGTCCATATATGGCTTGAAACAAGCATCCTGTTGGTGGTATTATAAGTTTTAGTGTAATTACCTCATTTGGTTATAAAGAAAATGTTGTGAATTAGTGCATATACCTCAAGGTTAGTGGGAGCAGTTTTGTCTTGTTAATTTTGTATATTGATGACATTCTAAATACCAATAGAGACATGGACTTACTATACCAAGCCAAAGAATTTCTTACACTGAAATTTGATATTAAAGACATGGGGAAAGCATCCTATGTTCTGGGAATTGAAATCTGGTGAGATAAAGACCGTAAAGTGTTGGGTTTATCCCAAAGGGTATATATTCAAAGGATCATGGAATGGTTTGGTATTGCACATTTTGCACCAAGTGTAGTGCCAATTAGTAAAGGGGATAAGCTTTGCATTGAAAGTTGTCCTCTCATCGTATATGAAAAAGAGGAAATGAACAAAGTTCCCTAATCATCAGTTGTAGGAAGTGTGATGTATGTGTAGGTTTGCATAAGACCTGACATTGCATTTGTGAAAAACGTATTTAGATATTTGCAGGGAATAAAAGAATTTTTTCTCACGTATAGAAGATGGGATGATCTTAAGTTGTTGGGTATATTGATTACGACTATGATGGATGCCCCGACACTAAAAAGTCAACATCAGGGTATGCATTTCTGTTAATAGGGGAGTTGTATCTTGGAAAAGCTCAAAACAAAATCTAGAACATCCTCCACCATGGAAGCAAAATTTATAGGATGTCATAATCAACAACTCATGCAATGTGGTTGAAGAACTTCATTGCTAGTTTAGGAGATTTGGTGTTCAATTGCGTTGATAGAGCAATATGACTATTTTGTGACAATACTACAATTGTATTATTCTCAAAGAATAATAAAAATAACAGTTAAAGCAATTACATAGATTTGAAGTACTTAGTTGTAAGGGATGGAATCCAAGAGCAAAAGATTACTATTGAACATATTGGAACTGAGAGGATGATTGCTGACCCCATGACTAAAGGCTTGCCCCCTAATGTATACTTGAACTGTGTAAAAGACATGGGAGTAGTCAATTCAATTCATGGTGTAATCTAATATAATGACACATGTCTCTATTCAATTAGTTTGCTCTGTCTCCTCTTGTCCCAAATCTGTCAATTTTGCACAAGTTTTCTTTGGACAGATGTATTAAAGAAAACACATTATGAACTTTTTACAATGAGGGTTGCAATGTATGACATCATGATACATGTAAGGGGACTGAATTGGAAACATAACCTTGTTGGGAATAAGTTGGAAACATCTCACAATCACTCCATAATTGTAGGGGTGTGTTTAAATTTGAATTTTAATTGAATAATAAGGAAGATTTAGGAGAGGTGATGGGATTTGAAGAGATTTTCTCTCAACTAAATTAGGAAGTTCATCAATAGGATGAACTAATTAAGAGATGGGAGAAATAAATGGAATGTTTTCTCCTTTGAGTTTAGCTAATGAGCTTATTCATATGGTAACGTTCAAGAAGGCCCCAATCGGTCCCTTGAACATGAGAGCTCTAGAGTGGTTAGACTCGAGAGGAGAAAAATACTAGAAGGAAACCAAGAAAAATAAAACTCCATACTAGTACACTGATCTTAAGCAAAAAGGCGCACCAGAAACATATATTTTTCTGTTGATTAAGAACATGGCTGCAAGATAACTGATTTGGTTGGATTTCTCATCAAACAATAAGTAAAACTCATGGCTAGGGCTTCTAGAGGAGGTAAGATGATTCACTATATTTATTTACATACTGTTTTAATGGTTCAGTATAACCAGAGATAGATTGGACTGGTTCTCACTTGGACCATGTCGAATTGTCCTTCACATCCCTCAGATCTAAACAATTGGGTTTGGACCTTTTTATTATTTGTCCTTAAAAATCTACAGACAAACTGAACTGCCAAAGCTAAGATTAAAGAGAGATTTGTCCTAGTAAATAAATAACACGAGAAGAAAGGGTATTCTTAGATATCTTTACTGTCGAAGATGAGAGATTTGGGTTCCTTAAGGTTTTGCTAGAGTTATTTTCAGTTCCTGCTTGGCAGCAACCTTTCTTTTGGGCTTGGAGGCATTCTTGGGAGTTTCAAACCTTTTGACGGGTTTAAACCCGAGGCCCGAGCCTAAGCCCGAAATTCGACAAGATCATCAAATGAGAGAGAGAGAGAGAGAGATCTGGAGTTTTCTGAACGAGAGTATGGGACATCGCCGGAGAGATGATACCTGGGGAGACTATCCAACAAAAGAAATTAGGCTTAGAAATTTAGGATATATATTATTATATTTTTTTAATATATATAATATTTTTGGGCTGAGCCAGGGTCGGAGCAAACTTTTATGTGAAATCCCATGTTGGGTCCAAAATTGAGTAAGGTTTAAATAATAGGGCCCAAATCCAGGCCCATGAGTCTAATAATACATCCAAAACCAATCGTAACCGGGCTGTTGGATTACCAGCCGCGGCTAGAAGGTGAAAGGTGAACAATGTTTTTCTTGTCGTCCGTTTCATTAGTCGCTGAAATGACTTTTGTTTTGGTAGAGAAGGGAGGGGACAGTGAAAGATGAGTCGATGATGTTTTTGAATAAATTTAATTTTAATGTTTTTAGAAGTCCGCCCGTTAACTGCATCATTAACGTTAAATTTTAAATAACATACGTTTTTGAAGTGACGTGTTGACTTTTGAATGGAAGTTGCTGATTTATGCAAAGACCACGGATGTTGCAGATGCTCTCTCCTCCCTTTTGGGTCATTTTGCCGAGTTCCTTGGACATGGTTCTCTCAAGCGCCCTAGTATACTCTACACGCTAGGTGGGTAGCTTATCTACTGAGTTTGACCAGAAACTATAGATTTGCGTCGCCTATTTGCTGAAAGTACAAATGGAATGGTTGATCATTCATTGGATGAAGTTTATGATACACCAGATCCGGCTCGACCCCCTCCTGCATACTTTTAGCTCCCGCCCTCTTCTTCCAACCAATGCTTGCCATGGCCAGTGCTTCCTTGTTCTTATCTCCATAGAAAGCGAACCGCGCCTAGTGGAAAAAACCTAAGTAAGCGCTTTAACCCAATGTTTTAAAAAATGATCTAGAAATAGAATCGTTCTGTTCACTGGTTTTTGGGTTGATGATCCAATTGTCTGATTTGAATAGATATAACAGTTTTTTATCAAAGACCGGATTTAGGATAAAACGGAATCAATTACCTAAACGATTCTTAAGTCAAATGGTCCAACCGTCCAAATCAATGATAGTTTCAAAACCTTACTTTCACCAATCAACCACCTTTCTCCCTACAATTTCTTGCCCTAACTGTTATACTCTTCGAAGCTCTCTGAACTTCTATCAACGAGCAAGTAAACGCCCGGATCCAATTCTGGTAGAGATATTTCTCCTCCAAGTACTGTTTTAGAGATTCAAGAGTCTCCAGTGCAAATGTTGGATGCTGAAAATGAAGAAGAGAAAATTAATAGAGGAGATGATGATGATGATCGCCCTGAATTTAGATTTGTTGCTTGTGTACACCATCTGCTTGGACTTTCTGTATGTCATTTTACTTTTCAAAGTCCAAACAAGTTAAACATCAAATCTAAATCCTGGAAAACATGAAATTATTCAAATATAAACAAAATTAAAAAAAAAAAAAGAAAATGCAATTTCTCATTAAACAAAAATTAAGATCTGAAATAGTCTAAAGAAAGAGACGTTGACGATAGAGAGTTTTCAGTACGGGTGCGAATGGACTAGATCTTGATTATAATTCGTCGAATTTCTATTTTTCCTGATTCAGATATCCCTCTCGGATTTTTGAAATAGGATTCATTTAAATACTGAAACCTCCCTCCTCTCATTTTGAAAATAGACTAAAACTTCTGCCATCAAATAAAGACCTCCCATCCTAAGACGTCAAATGTGTTAGGATGTGGTTTGGACGGTTTTCGGGCTGAATGGTCTGACCATCCAAATCAAAAGCGGTTTGAAAACTATAATTGGAACAAATACATATTTTCCAAACATAACCTAGGTCCAATTTGATTTATTGAAATAATAATGAAGATATATCATATATATAATAATGAACAAAATACCTGTTGCCAATGAAATGGACTGAAAATTTTCAGTTGGTATAAATTCAACCAATCTACGGTATTATGTAAGTGATGGTAAGGCCCTTGATAATTTGAGGAGGAAGCATGCAAACATATTCAACGTATTGTTACTTGACCCGTGAGTTGATTCAAAATTATAACATCAAAAAGTAAATACCAATTTAGCAAAAACATAACATCACCACCACCACCACCACACCACAGTTATTGAATCAACACAACTTACCTTACATGATGGAGCAAGGAGTTGGGTTTATTTCGTTAACTGTTACTTGGACTTGATAAAAACAATACCCTGGTGGACATCTATTACAAGGGCAATCTGATGGTGGTGGTGGTGGTGGTGAACATTTCTTTTCTTTTTTATCTACACAAATAATACAACAGCATCCTGGTGGACATACGATGGCACAAGTACAAGCACAACAAGGGTGGTGTGGGCATTTCTTTTTATCAGCTGGCTTCTTAACTTCTTCTATCTTGTCCTCTTCAATGGTTACCAAGACGGTGTAACCAACTTTCTTCCTCAACATGGTTGTCAAGCAGGTGGTATCAACTCCATCCCCCACTACCACCAATTTCTCCTTGGAGTCATCCAGCGACACCGAGATCACTCCTATATAACCATATGTTCACATCACTTTATTAAGGGTCCATTTAGTTCGTAGCTGGAATCAGAATCGGAATTGAATGATCTATTTTTATAACCCACTTAATTTAAATAGGAATGAACATGAGAATTGGAATCATCTAGAATGGGATTTCATTTTCAAGGAAGAAGGAGAGAATAGCCTTTCCCTCAAATGGGGGAGTAACATTCCACTAAGAATGGGAATAGGGTTCTGATTCCACCCAACCAGATCACCATTCCTATGAACCAAACGGGTCCAATTCTGCTTGTGATTATATTTTAATTTCCTACATGTACAAGGCGAATTCTGACGATTTGGTCCAATGAACAGCCCGCCTTTTGATATGCAAAATTCAAAAGTGGATCAAGTTTGGAAGTGATACACACCGTATGCTTCTGCAGCGATCCTCATGGCCTTGTGCCGGCAGTCGTCACAGTGCATATCCACCTTGATAACGATCTT